TATATTGATTTCATATATTAGTAAGTTGATATGATATGTAATACGTTCATTCAATATACATTTTGTTTAAATAATAGTACTTATGGTTGTATCAAGGCAATGTTGAAATTGTGTTAGCAAAATATTTGTTTGTCGTTTTGATACCAACGTGCTATTGAATTTAACAATGCTAACTTATTTTTTAACCAACTCGATGTCAGAACAACAGAGTTGATGTTAAAACAACAAAATTCCGCTGTTACACCATTTCAAAAGTATGAGCGGGATCAAATCAACAGCTGAGGTCTGTAAAATTGATAGTTTCGTTGTTAGGTTAACAGAGGGCCCATTAAATCGACAGACAAACCGTTGAGTTAACTGCTGAATTGTTGTATCAATCATAAACCTGTTTGTATTAACTATTTTTTTTTCTCAGTGTAACGATGAGATATTGCCGTAAAACATTTGTGTACAATCTTTGCCTATGGTGACAGGTACATTTACAAAAGTGTAAAGTGAACCAAACAGTGTTTTTTTGCGTTCGTGTACTTATTTTCCGTTCCTTTTTGTGCAAAATAAACGCAGTATTAAATTTTTACAAAGAATTCTGTAACAATAAATTTTTTTTTGTATGAAAGAACACGACTCACACCAAAGTTCTTAACAACTTGCCTTCAAAAGTATACGATATAGTTTTACAAAGCTCTTACACGAACAAAATGAGAAGGGCATTAATCATGTATATAAAAATTATCAGTAAGCATTCAAGATAAATTAAATATTAATACTTGAAAAGAATCTGAACAATTTTTCAAGCTCTATATTTTTTACTTCACGTTATAATGAATATTCTATTTGTTTCTATCAATCTACATATAGTAATGAGTTTTCCTTAAATTGAGATAGCATTCTTTTGAGGTATTGGGGATTAGATAATGAAGCGACATTTATAAGCAGAGGTTAGATGTAAATGATGTTCATAAACTTTCTATCCTTGTTCTGTTTCTATCCTTGGCAACATTTATGGCACGGTATATAAAATGGGAGTGAATTACATCATGGGGTGTTTGTTACAATTATCATACTGATTACTTTCTCGTACATTGTCCCATTTACTAAGAATGTGATTCATAAATTTAAATATCACAATTCAATGTTAAGAGGAACAAAGAATTAATTGAAGTTTAGTTTCATTAATTGTTTATGCAAGATTGATTAATAATTACTTTTCACTGTTAAAAAAAGTAATTAAGAAATCTGATGTAAATATGATTTTAATGACGCCTTTATGATTATTAATAACAATTTTTCAACTTTAAAATAATACAATAGCAATTAGTATTTTGAAATAAATAAATTCTTGATTTTTCACGAATGTTAACTTTCGTTAATTAAACCATTCTTCACTAAACATCGTTAAATAATTTGGAAAGTCAGCCACAAAAATTAAAAAGTAATTAACTTACAATGTAAAACCATAAATCTAATTATATTAACTTATTTATCATCTATAAAAAATCGTTAGAAAAATATAAATAAAAAGTACTCAAGCAAAAGGAAGTCTGACTTAAAAATATCACAGTCAAGCGTAGTTCAAACAACGAGAAATTATACTAATTACGCTGGCTATATTTCATATTTTAATATTCGCATCATTAATACGTTTGATTTTTAAACGTCGTACGTCAACAAAAGCTCGACGCGTGTGCAATTTTTAATTTATTGATTGTTTTAATTCATTTTTTTAAGATCGTAAGAAAGTATCAAATCACAGTCGTTTCACACGTATGATTCCTACTTAAATTGAAAAAACTGCTCTCAACAATCGGAGGAACATGCGTGAAACGCGTAAAAATTCTTTTTTAATAAATTTATAATTGACAATCACTATTCATCTTGTCTTCAGTCACCAATTTTTTATTTAAATCTCCTAAACGTAGATATAGCAAATGAGAGAGTGAGAGAGAGAGAGGCGCGTTTCAGCCGCTAATCTATTTACACGCTGCGGGGATATCACAATAATACGTGTATACGCACGCGTCGGGGGGAGCGCGTGATTTTCGTGCAAGCTCCCGCGAGCGCGCGTAATCCGGATATAACGATCGTCAACACGAGAGAGAGAGAGGAGAGCGAGAGGGAGAGAGAGAGAGAGTTCCAGAAGTTGCAAAAAAAATTAAAGAGCCCAACCAATAGCGTAAAAAAAAGAAAGAAAGTACCAAACATCGCGGAATAAGAATAAGAGAAAGAGAGTCCAACAAATGGCATGGTTAAGAGACAGAGAGAGAGAGAGAGAGAGAGAGAGAGAGAGAGAGAGAGAGAGAGAGAGTTCCAGAAGTTGCAAAAAAAGTTAAAGAGCCCAACAAATAGCGTAATAAAATAGAAAGAAAGTACCAAACATCGCGGAATAAGAATGAGAGAAAGAGAGAGAGAGTGCAACAAATGGCATGGTTAAGAGACAGAGAGAGAGAGAGAGAGAGAGAGAGAGAGAGAGAGAGAGAGAGAGAGAGAGAGAGAGAGAGAGAGAGAGAGAGAGAGAGAGAGAGAGAGAGAACAGAGACAAAAAGAAAGCAATTTTATTAAATCTAATTAATTTTAACTTACCTGCGTTGTCAATCCATTGCTTGTGGCGGTTTTCCTGAGTCGATGCATCAGGGAAGCGAAAAAGTTGATGACCGCTGAGCCTAGAATTGTTAAAACGTCTGTACTGGCAAAAATCGTACGTTTTCGCCATCATGTACGATTGATTGCACGTTCACTTAATCACTTTTCACGCACTGTTATCACTGTTCACTCACTTTTTTCACTTTTCACTCACTATTTTCACTTAAAGCACCTTAAGAAAACTATTATCGAGAAAACTTTTATCACAAAACTATTATCAAGAAAACTTTTATCACTGGCCTTTAGTATGCGCACGTAGGTGCCAGAACGACAATGATAGATTCGAGCGCGAATTGACAGCCGATACTCGGTCACATTAATAACCGCCAAAACAAAAGAAAAGGGCATTTAAAAAAGGCGGTTAATATGACAATTCAAATTACAATACGAACTGGGAGCTTGAATAACAAGTATTTCTAAAATGTTGAAACATTTAAATGATCAGTATTAATTAATGATAAAACATTCGATAGTAAGCCAAATTATGTATAAAAACGAAAAAAAATCTATTATATCCGTCTTGTAGATATTTAAAAAATAAAAGACACGTATTTTTTGTTTATTTAATCAATCAAAAACTGGCCGAGAAAGAGCGCGATAAAGCTTTCCGTGACGTCACGATAACATAGCATTTGCATATATCCGAATAATCGTGGGTACCTTTGGCACGCCGTAACTCAGTCAATTTTCTATTAATCGAAAAAAGAAAAAATACGTGTCTTTTAATTTTGTAAAATCTACAAGACGGATATAATGGAATTTTTTCGTTTTTTTACATAATTATGCAAATAATCAAAGTAATATTATTAATAAAGGAGAAAATAATTTATAGGAGTGGCGTATACGTGAAATAAGGCAATGGCTGTTAACTGTTATGCGATAGTGTTGTTTAGTTTTCTATATAAACAAAAGTATATTGATATATCTACGTTACCCATTTATATTATTTGTATGTAACATCTGTATCTGTATACTATAAAAGCTACAATTTATTAAGCTTAACTTTATATGTATACTATAAAAGCTATAATTTATGAAGTTGCTTATTAAATTGATTTGTTTAGATTGAATTGATGTATTAAATCATTAATATTAACGCGTGTATTATGTTAAAGCACGCAGATTAACAGAAGAATGCTCGATTTGCAAAGTATCAATTCTAGTAATTATCGAAACGCTATTGACTATAAAAAGACGTGTGATCTTTAAAATATTAACGTCAATGTCAGATGCTTTCTACGTTCGAAATTTGAAGTCAAAACACGTGTACCAATGTGTTCTCTGGACATAAAATCAATATTATAACCGTTCAAGAAATAAATATTATTTCTCATTACGATTATGTACCTGAAAAAGATCAGTCGGTAGTATAAATTTACATTTTTGTGTGATAATACCCTGTCAAAAGGAACTGCATCCTCATACCCAGATAATTAATAAGAGCTGTATAAATAGACATGAGTTATTTTCTGAAAGAACCTTTATAAATTATATCTAAAAAAAAGTTAAAACCAAAGGAAAAACATAACATTGAGTAGGAATTGAACCCAACTCGAGACGTCGGTCTAACTTCATACTTAATGAAGTTCGAATTTATATTGAAATTATAAATATAAAAATTATGATGTATATGATAATATATTAGTTTATTAAAGTTGAGTTAACTATTATTAAAGTTATATATTCATTCACTTAATGTAATGGCAAGAACGGGATAAATGGCAAATAATAAGAAAATTTATGATTGTACTTTTTATTAATCTCGTTATCATACAAATTAATTGTGAGTTAATTGTGAGAAAAAAAAATTTTATCTATGGTATCTACGTGGACTGGAACCCGGGACGACAAAAATGAAATCAAGCAGCACGCGTTAGCCATCTCGGCTATCAACACACTAGGATCCTATTGTACGAAAGTTACATATGTTCATAGAAATGTACGAGGGTTTGTGATTAAAAAAAGGGCTTAAGTTGTAGATATTTGCTGTAATAATTAAGATATTTCGAGATATTTAATTATGAAAAAAAAAAAATTGCATCAAGTGGGAATCGAAGCCTCTATTCTGGTCGAAGAGAAAGATTTGCCGAGACGAAATTCTCTTCGAGTGCTCAAACTCGCACTCTTGCTTCGCCCCGCCCATCGGCTAACGTGATTGGTCAGACGCACATTCTCTTCTTCTCCTCTGTATATTAGACGCACGTTTGGTATTCCCCTCTCGCGCCGAACGAAAATGTGCGTCAGCTTCGGTGCTTTGGCCACTACGGGGCGCTCGAACCAGTAACATTTGTCGGGCACGCTCGGAAGCATTACCGTCAGCAATCTCCCTACTAATCTCTGGTCTCTGGTAGTTATCAGCATGTCATCAATGTCATCTATTCATATGTCAAAATTCCGTGTCATTTCTAAATATCTAAATCCTTCTAAAAACAGCCAAAGGAGTTTATTTTAGTTGAAGTAAATAAATTTTAAACTAAAAAAAATGAACCAAGCTAAAGTTTTAAATTTGATGTCAAAAATAAATTTTAGAATATTTCCAAAGGCGCGTAACCTTAAAAATGTTGATGGACCCGAAGGAAGAATTTTGAAGTTACAAAAGTCAATGACAGCTCTTTTAAAATATGAAAGAATAGAGATGAACTATAATCGCGCTGATGAAACTAGAGGTTACATTGAACTGGTCAGTAATCAAAATCGGTAATAATTAAATGAGCTGCGATCATATTTTGTCAATATATTCGATAGATCTTTCTGAATTTTGATCATGAGCAAGAGTAATATATTTATTGACGTAATTTAAATTGCAATCAATATACATACAACGTACCGTTTATTTTGATCTAAAATAAAGTATTTAACTGATGTAGTCAATGGTTGTTGATTTGTAAAACAAAAACCACTAAGTAATAAGAAATCTTTGTAGTACTTGTTTTTGGATATGAAACATCAGAGTTATAACATTAGTGAAACAACTTCTGAATAACTTCTGCATTATTTATTTCAAAATATTTAATTCCACAATTTCACTACACATTCCAAATATTTATAAATAAGACACATTTTTCCTGGCTATCAGTCTTTATTATATGTAATATAATAAATTTTATTTATTGATTTATTTGATAAAAAGAACATTGATCAGTTGCACAAATGCAACCATCAAGGCATTTATAATGATGTTAAGTTTTTGTTCTAAGTTTTGGTAAAACATAATGTATAGTAAAAGTAAAATTAATTAATTACTATTAATAAAGTTATACATGGTATTTTACAAAACTGATGATACATTATATGTAAACATAGTAGGTTACCAGTAATAACAAAATAGATAATTGGCCTTTCCATTGATAGGTTTACTACAAAATATGAACAGTTCTAATACAATTAACTGATTATTATTAGTAATATACTCATACTTTTATTTTATGGTCATTTTTCAATTTTGGACATTTAATTACAAAGGCCAAAGGGTGTTGTAATATTTTATTGACACTATATGATCTCTATTTTGATTCAGAATCTTTTTAAACCTAATAATTTGAAATTCTTTCATTTTATTTTAATGTTATACTTTATATATAAATTTTACAATTCATCACAATCATAGAAAAGTGATTCACCTACAAAAGTTTAATTAAAACTCAAAGAATAGTTTGTGTGTGTGTGTGTATGTATGTATGGGTATATGATAAAAGTTTCTTTGTTAATAATTTTAAAACTTAATTTTGTAAACATTGCACTTATTAAAAAATTGTTTTAATGGTATTATCCCATGTTATTGTATTATAATTTATCAAACTATGGATGTATATGTAATTTATATGATTAATTAATAGCTGTTTTAAAATTAAAATTAACTCCATTTCAATTTAAAGTTAATTATTCTTGAAAAAATATTTCATATGTCCTGTTATCTTCAGTAATCTATTTTATATTCTAATTTCAACCTGTTATGGTACACTATCTCTTTAGCTATCAAAAGTGAAATAAACAGTTTTCTCTGTACTTATTATTAGTTATTATTTGCAAGCCAGTTAGCTAGTTAACCATTCATTCATTTTTACAAATGTTCTTTCCCATTTATGATTATTTGTTATTAAAGCAGTATCATTCACATGAGATAAAACTGAATCAGGAAGCATGTGTATCACAACAGCTATCTTAGTAACAGATTATTGTCATTGATAACTTAATAACTGTAAATTATACCCTGAAAAACACCAATGTTTACTTCGTTATAACTGTCTGTATTTCCAGTCTGTACTCTTTGCTGTATCTCAGCCATGTAGCTTTTAATAATGATTAAGGACATTCTTTTATGCAATACCTATAACATTTTTGTAATAGAATTTTGTGGTCAAAAGTATTGAATACTTTTGCCAAATCTAAAATATCATAATCATAGGAATACAGTCATTTAAGTTGCCGTTTAAATTATATCAGTTAATCTTATTAAAGGATCTTTGATTTTAATATTTTTTAATTTTAATTTTTAATTTTTTAAAAATTTATATTGTCTTGGATATTTTGTTCTCATTGACAAAGTTATATAATATGTTATAATCAATTTTTTTCAAATACTTTTGCTCTATTTTAAATAAAAAAACTTGTTATATTGGGAATAAATGAAATTGACCTAGAATTTTCAATCTTTAATTTCTCTATAGCTTTATAAGTTGGAATAACTACAGCTTTTTTAAAGCGTTAGACTGAATTTCTTGACTTATACAGTTGTTGAAAACTAGTTTTATATCTATTGAATCAACTATTGTTTTTAATACCATGGCATTTACTGAATCAATACCTCCAATTAATTTTCATTCTATTAATTTAATTTTAATTCTATTAATAATCCCACTGAAAATAAATATACAAGTTTTGTATAGAATATATATAAAATTTTTATACACTTTGTGTAATATTCGTACAAAAGTCATACAAAGTTTGTATTCAATAATCGACTTTTTGCTAAAAATTGAATAAATAAATAATATTCGCATATTTAGAGAAAATAATGTGAGCAATTTAAAAAAAATGAACTACATATGAAAAATGAAATAAATAAAATAAATATTAACCTGACCGAGATTTGAAATTGAAACCTTCATTATCAGACTTTGAACTTTACCAATGTGCTACCAATGACTTTTACAATACATATAATTTTTGTTCTACTAGTGATATCTAGCGCATTCCACACACTATTTTTATAAAATTTTTTTGTTATTTATTACATTATTTTAACTTTTTACATGACAACTTTGAGATTCTAATGTTACAAAGGCTTGAACATATTTCGTAAGATAACTGTTTAAAATACACTATGCTTTGGTATACGCTAATGAATAGAAATAGAATTTGCACCCATTTTTTTCACAAAACCAATGATCTTTTACTCATTTAAGATATATTGGAAAAGTTATAGAAGCGATTAATTATACTATCATACAATAATAAACTTTACAAGCACAATAGTAATGGTTACGATCCCAGTTTTATATTAGTATGAGTAATACATTTCTAATATCGTGCCCTGTTTATTCCCTCGTTAAAGACACGTGAATCTTTTTCAAATTTAATGGATTTAATACTTTGATGATTAGTTTCCGTTACCTGCATACCTTTTAATTTACAATTTACAAAGGATAAAAATGTATTATCCTTCATTTTATTCTATTCATTTCTCTCTTTTTCAACCAAATTTTAAAACAATATATATCCATTTTAATCTTATAGATTGTTATAAAATTATTGATTTGCACTAAAAATATCAAATATAATTTCTTGAGTTCTTTGTCACGGAATTCGCTCTCATCGAAACAAAAAAGTAAGTTTTTGGCGTCCAAACGGTAGGTGAGGCAGGTCACGCTTAAGCAAATGATCTTCTCTACATTAATCTATAGAGATGATAGGCGAACTTCTGAACTAAGTGCTGCTGCTTCCGTGCCAAGCCTGAGGTCCTTTATGAGGCTGATTGCTGATTAAGAAGTTTCGGAGAAAAATGAAGACACTAAAGGTTGAGGCAAAAAAAGTACACTTCTATGAAAACAGCCGCACAAATGTACAGGCTCCAAATGCCACAGCTGTGGAGGAAAAGGAGCGATTCATCCAGAAAGCAGAGAATAAACGCGTGTGAGTGCAAGGCTGGCGCTATTTCAACTAAACTAGACTCGGAGGTTCTTTACTCTCGTCCGTTCGAGGCATTAGCGTCTGCTTACGCGGCTGGCCGGGAGGCTGGAACATGCCGTCATCTGCCAGGGAAGATGAGCTAGGCGGCTCGGGCACCACACCCACTCCCCCCTGGAGGTTGGTTGGCTCGCAAGTAACCCAGGCAGTAACCCGGGAGAACGGTTTCCTGGATAGCTGGGTCAACAGAATCAAAATGGATCCGGCGAGGTGGGCTAGTTACGGCCAACAGGTCGTCATCCGCAACATAGCCGGCTACGAGGAGAGAGGACGAGACAATGGAGGGACTGCCATCGACGTCAATGATGAACCCAGAGTCGTCAAGTAAGTCTTTCAATGATTCGGTTAGGGACGGTGCAAGGAGAACATAAGGGCGGTTTGACAGCAGCGACGAGCTTGAAGACGTGCCAGCAGAAGTGTCAAATACTAGTTGGCCGGGGCTGCTCCAAGATCACGTTTGAAAGTTGTCCGAAGTCCCAGTAGCACCGTAGATAGAATGTCCAACAAGGGAACGGTAGCATGACAAGTGAGGGCTGCTTTTGACTTGCGGTGCCATCGCTCCGCCATGCCGTTTCCCTGGGAGTGGTAGGGAGTCGTCTTGAAGCGAGAGGCACCAATCAGCTTTGCTAGGGCAGCAAACAGGCCGGACTCGAATTGAAAATCTTGATCAGTGGTGATCGTAAGTGGTGTGCAGAAAAGAGCAATCCACTCCCTGTAGAAAGCGAAGGAGACGGTTTCTGTCGTCATATTATTGAAAGGAACTGCGTGCGGCCACCTAGAAAACCTGTCGATGATTGTAAGGTAGTACCTACATTCTCTTACGAGTGGCATGGTAACGTGGTCCAAATGAACGTGGTTAAAGCGGGCTTCTGGCATTTTTATGTGAATTGGGCGAGTGCGGGTATGCCTGTTGATTTTCGAACGTTGACACGGGATTCACTCTCGCACCCAGCGTCGATCATCCTTCTTGGTGCCGGTCCAAACAAATTTTTCTTTTAGTTGCCTACAGGTTTCGCGGCCTCTCGAATAGGAGGGGCCGTACATGATATCAAAGGCAACTTTGTGGAGAAGAGTAGGAAAATAAGAACGAACCACACGAGAGGATACGCCGCAGATAATACGGTGACCGTCGATGAAAATCAGCTAGAATCTTAGGGAAGATGTAGCTACAAGTAGGGCCGCTGAGTGCTCGGCTTGAGCAGAGCTGATGGTCTCAGGGTCAAGTTTCGACGGTATGGAGATGGTGTTAATGCGTGAGAGAGCATCGGCGACAAAATTTTCATCTCCTGGAATGCGTACAATATTAATGCAGAATTGACCAATACGAGGTGTGTTCAAAAAGTAAGGTGACTTTGTATTTTTAAGAAAAAATATTTATTTATTTATCAATATTTATGTTGTCCCCTTCAAAGTAATCCCCCTCAGATACAATACACTTATGCCAACGGTTTTTCCAATCCTCAAAGCACTTCTCATAAGCATTTCGGTATAGCC